TTCCCAAGGACCTGAGATAGGCAGATGTTGTTTGATGGTGTTAAAGATATTGTCGCAGGATGTATGCTGTTCCAAGTAAAGCTGCCTTTTGCATTATTATTATTATTATTATTATTGTTATTTATTATTAAATTTATATGCCACCCGACTTCCAGTAACTGGGTGAGTCAGTTTGCTCCACCAGGATTGTATAACCATCAGTCCCTTTTCCTTTATTCATGACAGACAAAAATAAGATCAGAGAAGACAACTTAACAGCTGTATCCACAGTTACAAGGACTATGATTTGTCATGTATACCAAATTCTGAGAAGCAATGAAATATTCCTACAGCCATAAGGAGGAGCTGTGCTGAATGCTGTCCTCCCATTCATATAGAATTATGGAGGAATGTAAAAGGGAATGAAACAAATGGCAAGTGGGGTGAAATCTCTTTAGAAATCCTCATTGGAGGGGAGGAGATCTCATTAACTGCAAGAGAAAGCTGAAGGGTCTCTCCCCCGCCCCTCTCCCCACTTTCCTGCCCTGAAACTGCTCAACAGTAGTATGAGGTTCTTTTCTGACAACTGTAAAATCAACAGCATTTCCTGGAGTGATCAGGTGATCATGCGATGCTAAGTGGTAGCAAAACCATTCTAAGAAATTCTTTCCAAGAAAGAAGATGCAATACTGTACTCACAATACACATTTATCCAATAGTTAACTGTACCCTGGTTTACTTGATCAATACAATTTTTTGAGTTTGCATAACACACCAAACTGTAATACAGCTGCACAGCTAAAAGGTGATTGGGTAGTTCGTTGTTTAGTGCATTGTAGTAGCATACCCTGTGTAAAGATCCAATCTCCTCTGTAGTCCACACAATTTATTAACTCAATACATTACAGTTTAGCAATGTGTGAATCCAGCTTGCCTCTGATCCTAACACAGATTTAGTGGGAAAGACTGATCTCATTTCTGGTGACTTGAAGCTTGGAAATCCAGTTCTGCCCCTTCACCAGCATCAACCCCCACTCCAGCATGTATTCTATTTCTCAAGTGAAGGCAAGACTGTGACAAAAGAACTGACTTTGCAACTGAAATGACAGAGAACATAGGATACCAGCATATCAAATGTTGGCTGAATTCTCCACTTCCCTATTCTGTAGGTAGCCAAAAGAGATGTCTGTTTTTATCACTGTTTTAAACATGGCATGAACATTTGCAGAATTTTCTATCCAATTGTTATTTACAAAAGAAATAAACAAGAGGAATCTTGTACACCGTTCTGGATTCCACAGAGGCAAGGAAGGACTTTCTTAAAGAACAAAAAATAAATATGGTACAGTATGTTCCCCTTGCATTTCATCAGACCCTTAGGAGTGAAGGAGTGCTTTGGTCTTTGCACCAAGAGCAAAGTCAGCTTTAAAAGCAATCAAACCTTTTCTTTAAGTGCAAAGTTCAGAAATAAAACACCCCAATCCTGGGCTTGGATCCAATTACGTTCTTTGGGATATAATGCAAAAGGATTTGATTGGGCTTTCGTTGCTGAAAAATAAAACTCTCCAAATAAGTAAATAAAACCTCTTTAAATTTTCCAAGTCTGCAATGGTTTCGATCAAATGTTCTTTTCAGCATGATTATTCTGATAGAAGGGAAAGATATGACCTGCAACCTGAGAATAGCAAAATGCCTGTGTTACATTTGCTTCCTGAAGCAAGAATGGCTTTAATCTTATGTGTGACCAGGCCCTGAAAGTTAGCAAACTTGGTGGATTAAGTCACTGGTTCTCAACATGGGTCATATGACCCTCCAAGGGGGCCATGTCATATTTCTAGGGGGTCACAGTGAGTTTCTGAGGGGCCACCCAGGTATATAATCAACTTGTCATAAACTTCACATCTCATTCTCTCTGCTAATTTCAACAGCATAAATAATGAAAATTACTAGAGTTTACAATATGTATCTTAAGAGTGACTATGGAGGTGGGTCACAGAAGCAAATGAGGCTCAGAAGAGGGCCACCAGCAAAAAAAGATTGAGAATCCCTGGATTATTTTGATAGCAGATAAAAATCACATGAAAGCTGACATAGATGCTCTTCTTTAAACTGGGTAAATATAAAATCTGAAGAAAATTCAAGGAGTCTTTTTCATTTCGGAAAAAAAAAGAACAAAACGTAAGCTGGACATCAGATACTAGAAACTAAATATTACAAGGAGAAATTGAGGGAACTGAGTATGCTTAGCCTTCAGAAGAGAGCGGGGAGGGGGAATCAGATAGCATCCTTCAAGTATCTGAACGGGTGTCACACAGATGGCCAAGATCTCCCTCTCTGTTGTCCCAATTTAAAAGGACACAAAATAATTGTCTTAAATTGCAGAAAAAATAAATTTGAATTGAATCATTACAGAAATTAACTACAAGAGCAATTTAAGAATGGAATCAAATACCAAAAAATGAGATAGAGTCCTCTTCACTGGAGGTGTTCATGCACAAGATGCACAGAACATTTCATTAATAATCTTACACTGAGAGATGGTTGGACTCAGAGGCCTTAATGGCTGCTTCCAGCTCTAAGATTCTAGGCTTGTGCCCCATAGGGCTTAAATTAGCCCAGATAAGCATTTTGAAGCTGTAGTGAAGTCAAGAACTGCCAATGGTCCTTTCTCCAGAATTAAGAGGCATTACGTGAACAGTCTTCTCCATGAGGAGGGGGATGCTGGTTTCATTATTCTGATGAAAGCAGTGAGACCCTAGGGTCACTGTTGTTTACTTAAGAATTCAATTCACAGCCCTCTTAAAATCAAGGATATGTTAGCCCTTTTGGGGTATTCCAAAAAGTAGCAATATTGCAAACAATAGTGAGAAGCCCACTACCTTCAGGATGTCACTCTGATAACACAATTGAAGGACAGGCATCCCTGTACGCAATGCAGAACGCTGCTCCGAGAAAGCCTTTGCGCATACAGCTACTGAACAATATATAGCTGCCTGGGAATTCTGATGGACATAAACAGTTCTTCCATTAATTTCAGTGGGAAAAATCAGTGAGTAGATGTCGGTCTTCTTTGGCCTCATCCTTTCCAAATATTTTGGACTTTACCCCTCATAATGCCTGAGGATTATGAAAGTTGATATCCAAAGCCTCTGGAGAGTAACAGCTTGGAAAGACTGGCATTTTATTATTAAATCACCATCCTCATGAATGCACAGGTCTGGTACTATCTCTGAATTTTTTAAAAAAAGCTCACACACATAAGAATTCAATGGATTGCTGCACCTGGATTCAATTAGTTTTGTCTCCTAGCAGCCTTTCATTATGAAGATACATGCATTTCCAAAGCAAATATATTTCATAAAACCAGCCAATT